GGACGTCTGGTCACCCTAATGCCTTGTGCTTGTAATTTGTTTTTCTTTGAGGGGGGCAAAATAAAGGGTTAAGTTCAAATTAAAGTTTACACACAGAAAACAGGGAAATGTTACAATAGTATTTTATGCACACATTGCATGCTGGGAGTGAATATAGTCACTCTAATCCTGTGGGACACACTGGGATATAGATAGGTGGAAGCTTAAGGTAAAAATAAAACAAAACTTTATTGCTTCTGTTCTGCGTCTGTATCTTTTACGATACAGCAGAGTTAAAGTTTGAATGAAACACTGTTGCCTCTGTATTTACACAGGGATCATGATGAACCCTGTGGATGGAACTGAACAAACAGGACAAAGAGAGCAGCTGATGGCTGATTCAGAAGAGAAAAAGACCAACGGTGATAAACAGCTACAGAAGAAAGAGGAAGAACAGAAAGACTTTGTACTGGTAGTTCAAACATTAAAGGAGCAGATGCTGGAACTGGAAAAACTCAAAGATCAACTCAAAAGTCAAAATGAAGATATGGAGAGACAGAAGGAAGAAAGTGAGAAGAAGCTTCAGTCAGTGGAGAAAGAATCAGAACAGGACAGAGCAAAGGGATACTGGAAACTAACAGAAATCATATTGCAGGACAAACGTACAATTGGGCAGAGAAAAACTAAACATGACAAACTGCTACTGAACACACAAATGCTACTGAACAGAGGAGAAGGTGTGCTGCAGAAAATAAAGATCAGAGAACCACATGGAGAGAATCAGTGTGTGACTGGAGAGAAAGAAACAGGAAGTTAAGATTCAGAGAAAAGTAAACTTGTGTGAGAGGCAGGAACATTTGCCTGATCTTTATATTTAAAGGTTCCAAAGAGATGATAAGAATGTGCTATCACATTCATTCATATTGAGCTTTTAAAACATCCGACAACAACATATTAAACATGTAAGTCATTCACACTTTATGTTGTCAAAGGATTGTTTACAGCAATAATATAATATCAAGCATCCTGATATGTCAGATTTTATTACAGGAATAATAGCGATAGAATCTGGTAAAGCAGCAATAAATGAAAAAGATGTTTTGTTTGTTTTTAGTTGCGTAGCGTTTCAGCAGCTGTCAGCATCAGAACCTTCTGTGGGAGTGACCTGATATAACCCGCGGCCTCTTTTTCACACAGACAGAAAGAAAAAAACATTTTGATAATCGATTTACCGTGTTGTACACTTGTACTCAAATCAAATGTTTTTGTTTTTTAATGCTTAAATTGTTTGAGTAAGTCGATTTTATTTTTCATTTAATTTTAATGTATGTTTAGTGTATGTGATCTATGTTTTCTATGCTACTAATTTCCCTCGGGATAAACTATCTATCTATCTATCTATTCCTATCTTTATGAAACTTTTGTTAATATTGTGATTTAATAACAATTAATTCATATTTAAGATCATTGTGCCCAAAAGTGAATTTATTTTTCATAATTTCTTGATGGACTTGTTACTATATACATAATTAGGTTATGTTTATCTCTGGACTGTGTATATAATAATTTGTGTATTTTAGCGAGGTGTGTGTCGCACCGGTTCATTGGTGTGGTTACCTCTCTCCTCACTTCAACACGCTTCAACGCTGACCCCTCGCACATGCATCACTGACCGTGTGGAAAATTGGGGGGGGGGCCCTGCCTCAAGATGTCTTTAATTACGTTCTCGATAACATGCACGAGCTAACAAATATTATGTCGACTGCGTGTTTATAAATGTTAAATGCAATAATTTTTGATTGTGTACAGTTATTTTAATTAACATTTCATTTCCCCCTCCCCATTTTTCATTCATTATATACCACTACACGTTTTCCACGTGGGTGACTCGCATGTACACGCGGGCGCGCACGCCTGCGAAGTTTGGGATCGTTGCACTGGTGTACATTTTGTGCACTCATTTTGATGGTTAAATGCTAATTTGATGCTGCGTACAATAATAAACAAGTGACAAGACAATGCGGCGCCGCACGTTATCACCGACGTGCGCGCGCAAGTGTCGCGCCTCAAGCGGTAGAAACGTGATGTGCTATTGTCTACTTTAATTTTTAATGTTAAATGCTGATTCAGTGAAAAATAAATTAAATTCATGTGTGAGATCAGTTAATTTAAATACTAAGATTCATACTGTAAGATAGTGATGTGTGGCTAAACATAGATCAATATACTGTATACATATATATATATATTATATGTATAATATATGTATAAATATATAAAATAAATAAATATAATAGTATATATGAATGAAATAAATATACATACACAATGCTTGTTTTTATGACATGTTTTACTCAGGTGTCAGCATGTGACAGGTAACTTTTTGTGATTATATTTTTTTATATTTTTGCAGCTTGAAGAAGCTCAACTACCACTCTGGATGCAGTGAGCCATAAGTTTTTGCAACTTTGCATGTGAAAGAGACCAGACAGAGTGGGGTGTGTGAAGACATGGTGTTACACAAAAGAGCCGATCTCCATAGTAGTTTCATTAAAGTGAGAGTCGGCACATCATGATCATTCTCTAAAGTCACTCATTTTTCTCAAATGCACTTAACAGTAAATCATATCGACGAGTGACCAGAGGGGAAATATTCATTTACCCTGACAAGCAGCATCTAGCGCGTTGGCGAAGATTTAATCACATCGGCAGACCTCTTATGTAGTGCTCTCATACCCTCAGGTTTGCCCAAATTTATTGAATATCTCACAATTCTGTAATACATATACAATTATTAAAGTGGCCCACAAAAGCCAAGGGAACCACGAGGCAATTCAGACGCAATCAAATCAGTTGCAGTATTCAAAGCCAGGAATTTTAACCAGTGCATTGTCAATATAACAACGGTGAACTGTGTACAGGCTTAGTTCCACCTGACAACTGAATAATACTGATAGACCTCCACGCTGACCTCACAAGTACCCACTTCTTGGTCATTCTTATCTCACTCATTGATTGGAATGATGCCAAATATTTCCTCTTGAGATACTGAATATTAGGTGAAGACCCAGGGGAACCCTCAATTTATATGAGGAGAATGGCAACACGGAAGACCATGAAGCCCCTGAACCTTCGTCGACAGATAAAGCTCACCTTGAAAGGAGTTGATAATGTAAAGTCTGGTTGGCTCCGAGACTAACAACCACCGGGAAAGATGAGCGTCAACCTATTTGCCATAGCCTGACGAAGTAGCCACTGGAATGGTATGTCAGAAGAGACCCCGCTGCACTCTGTGAACCAGCTCATCCACAGGTTGCCCTGACCCAGACCTGTGCCTCAGTCCGAGCCCCCAGTCAACCACAACCCGTTGAGGGACCACTCCGTAATGACCAAAGTGTTGATCCACACACTTTACCCTACACCTCAACTGCAAATATCGAGTAGATAGAGATCGAAAACGAA